ATTTACTTAATCAGTCTTGCAAGCGGTGAATATTAATATCTCCAGCGGTGTTGGCGAGACGCCGCGGTGGCACAATTCACGGCTTATAGGGTCGTGGTCTAAGGATCAGGTCGACTAGTTTAGAAACATTCCAAGTTACGATGTTTGTTTTTTGATTGCTAATTACTGTGCTTTGATTCATTGGTGCAATGTTTATTTTTAGAATGCTAATTACGGTGATTTGATTTATTGACACGATGTTCCTTTTTGGGAATGCCAATTACCGTGCTTTGATTGTAACTACGATGTTTTGATTACTAATTACGATGCTTTAGTTGGGACAACATTATTTGAACAATGTAGGTCATCGGACCTAAGATAACGAAAGGCTGATATTTAATGTTTCTGCCACAATTCGCTTGTTTAATATTATTAATAGTCACGGAGATAAGTAAAACAAAAAACTGGCGGATGTAGAGTCACTCTTTTTTGCTCATGGACGATTAGGCTAGCCATAGTGGGAGTAACTTAGGTGTTAACTTAACACACCCCAAGACAATTTTGCTTATGTGGCAAGTATTTAATGAGGAGAGAGGTGTTTGGAGTAACATAATATGTTACTGTAACATAGCGCTTCCCAAGGCAAAATGAGTCTATAAGCTAATAAATGAAACAATCTATGACACTACTACTATGATACTTTGCACTATGGAGGTAGTAACTTAGACTAGTGACATATGGATGACACTAGTATAAATTACTCCTCACTATGACCAGCCTTATAGACCGAAACACCTCCTCCCACTCACTTGTCTAAAGAAAAACCTCCTACTGACTTGACTTGCGCAACAGCTCATTTGCTATACCTATACTAGCTCCATTCTAAATTAGATGAAGTTTTCTACGAAGCCTGTAGGGTAACTTCTATATCTTTCTACCACTAATTAATAAATTATTAGTGGACTGTCAAGATAAATTTGAACCATATAGGATACATATACGTTCAAGTTGTACACCGGACTTTGGAATTTATTCTGTACACTACACTTAGACTCATCAAGGTTCACTGATAGACAAGCGCATCTGGTGTAGTGGTATCATAGTACCCTCCCACGGTACTGACCAGGGTTCGATTCCCTGGATGCGCATAATTTTTTTCTCCCATTTTTATTTTCCGATTGCTCATTCGTATATATAATCAAAAAGATAATTAATCTATGTGATCTATGTGTTGTAACCTAACCTTGGAAATCTAACTAGGCGACGTGGCTGGCAAATATGGTGGCTTTATGCCAATCAGCTTGGTTTGCATCTTTGCTTAGAGTTAGAATCAGCTTGGTATCATTTACTTTTTTTTGCGTGTGTTTTCCCAACTGATCTCGAAATTGCCTAAGCAGTTCGCTTGAAAGATTCTAACTGATGAATGTTCGCGTTCTGGATGTGACAAGATACATGCTAACATGCATATATCCATATCCAGGTGAAAACAGAATTCCACTTGATGATGATAAAATTACAGCGACGATAACTTCACAGTCGAAACACTTGCGCAGTTTGGACATCTAGGTACACGCGGTGCGCTGACATACATCAGCACTCGCCATATTGCCTGGCAGATCGACCAGCTTCACCATTTCCAGAAGACGTTGGATCCGCACTTGAACTTCTCCTTCCCCTCGCACTCGATCTCCAGGTCGTCGGTGATGAACGGGACTTTCTGCAACCACACAAGAAGACATGATCGTCAGCCAGCCAGAGCTTAGAGTTCATCCGGCCATGGAGGGTTAGATAAACAGGAGAGCTACCTTCTGCTTGGCGAGGTCCTGGCAGCCGGTGAAGTTGTAGGGGAACTTGCAGCTGCCGAACTGGACGGTGTAGGCGCGCGCGAAGTTGGCGCCGCTCGTCGCCGCCCTCTTCTTGTCGTTCAGCTCCTGATCACGCGCAAAAATCATCAAAAAGTCCGGTGAGAAATGAGCAACGAACCGACGGCGACAGGGAAGGAAGGAAACAGAGCGGACCTTGTTGAGCTTGCTCTTCTCGAGGTACTCGTCGAAGACGCTTGCCCTGGCCGACCCGGCGGAGGCGGCCGTGACGGCGAAGACGGCCGCCAGGCCGAGAAGCGCCGACCGCCGGTCCTTGGCCGGGGCGACCTGCACGCGCTTTGCCGCCGCCGGCGAGGCGGACTGCGGCACCGCCGCGGCGGGCTTGAGGCCGACCACACTGGTGTTCACGCCGGCCATGATCCTCTCGAGGTTTTCTTGATGAATCTGGTGTGTGTGCGTGTGTGTGGCCTCAGGGGAGGGGGGGTGTGGTGATGGTTTTGTTTTTGATCGCGGAGGATGCTGTGGAGGGAAAACGGCGCTGCGGTGGGCGTGTGGATAGGGTGAGGCTTGCTTCCATTCCATTGGCTGGCCTTGGCGCCACGGTGGCTCCCATTATCCTTACGGGATGGGGCCCATACGACACGTGGCAAGATCTCCTTGGCCTTGACCTGACTGTGCCACTAGATTTAGATTTTTAACCCTTGAGCTCTCACGAAACGGCTCATTTGCTATTTGTACAGTACTACCTCCGTCTAGGTGAATAAGTCATTCGCGTAGTTCTAGGTCATCGATTTGAGCAATTAAATATATGTTATATGTCATAAAAAGTATATCACTAGATTTCTACACGGATGTAGTTTCTAAATATATATATTTTGTTACATATAATACATATTTAGATAGTTAAATCGTCGACCTAGAACTACGCGAATGACTTATTCACCGAAACGGAGGTAATACATACTACTAGTTCTATTCAAAATTACATGACGTTTCTAAAGGCGTGTAGTGAAAGCTTTATATCTCCGACCACTAATTAGAATCTTTTGGATAAATTTGAAACTTAGGTTAGCTGTGCAATGGATTTTAGTGTACTAATGTTTATTATCCGTAATCAATGGTCACAAAACAACTAAGCGCATCTGGTGTAGTGGTATCATAGTACCCTCCCACGGTACTGACCAGTGTTCGATTCCCTGGATGCGCAATTTTTCTCCTCAACATATTTGTTTGTTCATTCTTATTTAAGAATGAAGTTAATCTCCTTTTGCTAACCTGACCTTGGAATTGGAATTGTATGTTTTATATCACTGAAGATGAAGATCAAATCTGCTGACAATGTATCCAGTCATATGTTTTGTCCTGGCAATGGCGAGCCATGTCACCCCATAAAAAGTAAACCAAGAGTACCGCCCATATGGTACCTAGAGTAGTGGCGAATGTTTGTCTATAAGAATCTTACTATGGCTAACCGTAGCTCTATGGCTGCCAAAGCTTCGCGGCTTCAAGCGTGATGAAACCAGGGGCATTCATGAGCAGGTTAGCTTGCTGGTTAGTAATTTGTCGATCAAACATAAAAACAATTAGGGCTCCAAGAGGAAATGTGTCATTATCTTAATCTTTAGTTCACAGTTCACACGATACAATGCAGTGGCTTACTGATAAGCTACAGCGTGACAAAATTTATAGCCATCAGAACTACTCTGCTACGATCAGACATCCGCTTTTCCTTGCCCTGTATAAAAACTGCAGAATACAGAATGGTGGACGAACTGCACACTGATTGCAAGCACAGATGATCGGTGATCGCAACCACGGAAGGGAACACATCTTTCAGCACCAGTCACACATCACCTGCAAGCACAAATGCCGTAAATCAGATTCCCATGGGGCAAACCAAGTGTGACATACAAATAACATGCTCATCTACAGGCTGCATGACTAAGCAAAGATGGTGTTGATTGTCACAGGGTGGTCTCACAGAACAATCAAATGGCATGGACAAAAGCGAAAAGCGGGTGCTCGGTTTATTTTCTGCTCAAGTACCAACAGTACTGCAGCTGCAGAAGCAGGATTCCATCATCCATAAGTGGTGAGATCAATCTAACAGCAAGCGCATGCCACAGTTACACGGAAATGATAAACTAATTTTAGTCAAGTATATATCAGAATTAAACCTGTAACACAATCTCAGTCCAGTATACTAAGCGTTTTAATTAAGTTCATGATGGAAAAACGCCACTTTCTGTCCGAACAGCACAGAGCTCATGTTTCGCTTTATGTTTTTACCAGTCACGACAACAACTGATCAGGGCGGTTATTGTTTACGGGCATTCTAACTTCTGACAACATTATGTACATCCAAAGGCTCACTAGTCTCATGTGAAAACATCTACTCCCTCCGACCCATAACATAACAGCGTTTTCAGTGTTAACAACGCTCTTATATTACGGGACGGAGGGAGTACTTCTGAAGTAGTTCGCACAGCACTATTACAGAGAGCCTCAAGAAACAAAACAAAAGAGTGCGTGTGCACCAGAGGTGGGAATAAAAGCATTCCTGTCCTTGAATGATAGTCCAGGTAAGTCAATACATCACCGCAACAGCATAAGACAACACTTGATCAAAGTGCCAAATTGAAGATCACCATTTATGTTATTCTATTAGCCTAACTGATGCAACATACTTCTTCAATTAACCAGTTCATCCCCAAAAGAGGATCAGTTATATGGTTTATTAAGACACATAACCAGCGCCGTCTAAAGGACAGACCCAGTGCATAGAAGCTCCCACACAAGGTGGGGTCTGGGGAGGGATTATAGGAACCTAGTCTTACCCCTGCAAAGTGCAATGCAGAGAGGCTGGTTCGAACCCAGGACCTCTTGGCACAAGTGGGGAGGACTTCACCACTGCGCCAGGCCTGCCCTCACATAACCAGCGCCGTCTAACGACTAATAAACGAATGGAACAATTAAGTAATATGATCCAAAAATTTCATTTAATGCACTCACAGGTGAGAAGAAGACCAATTATCACCGAAAATTTGCAATCGCCTCATCTCATAGTCAATTAATCATCCAGTACATTCATATAACATATGCAGGAACTCTCGAAAAGATAGTAAGACATTGGGTCCCTAAATTCACGCAAATGGTCCAATCAGTAAACACAAGAACAACCAAGCCTGGACCCTCACCTCACATGAGCTCCTCCTCCTTGCGGAGGTACTCGCCGGCGTCGGACTGGTGGAGCACCACCACGGCGTTGGTGTCGGCCTTCCTGCAGTCCTGCGCGCCCCTGGCGGCGACCCCAAACCCGAGGGGCACGTCGGCCATGGACATGACGACGACGCCGTCGCCGGACTTGGTGTTCTCGGTGATGCGCGCGAGCGCGGACTTGGGCACGGAGTTGCCGAAGAGGAACGAGCGCTCCGTGTCGGGCTTGAGCCAGATGCGGCGGCGCGCGTGGGCGGCGAGGAGGTCGAGCGCGTGGACGGTGAGGTGGAAGGCGCCGCCGTGGGTGAACTTGCCGATGGGCGTGCCGACCCCGGCGAGGCGCGTGCGGGAGACGGCGGTGGCGCGGCGGACGAGCGACTCGGAGGCGTAGAAGACGCGGTTCTTGTGGAGGCGGAGGCAGTAGCGGCCGGGCTCCGGGTCGGGGCCCTCCACGGAGGGCCGCTCCAGGAGGTGCTTCAGGTTGGGGCCGGTGAACTTGAAGAGCTTCTCGAAGACCATCGTGGTCTCCTTCTCGTCGAGCGGCCGCATGGTGGAGGCGGCGGCGGGGTTTGGGGGCGGAGGGCTGAGGGGGGAGCGGCGGTGAAGGTTGGGGACGGACGGCGGCTAGGGTTTAGTCGGGTGCTTCCTCCCCCTTGGTTTTATCGGGACTGCGGGCCTTCAGATTGTCGGCCGTTGGATCGGTTAAATCCTACGGCTGATAGCATGCCTCACAATTGCTTCGCATGCCAATGTTTTTGCGTATGCCCGCTCCATTTGACCACTTTCCATTTTTTTTAACCAAATTCTTTTTCAAAAATCGCTTGCCGAATTTTGTGTATATGTGGTTCCTAACACCATACTCATACATATATACATATGACTACTAGAGATAAAGCATACTCATACATGTAGATATAACTACTAGAGATTCAAACCGGAGCGAACCAACCTGTGGTTAGATGGTTAGAGGGACAGTGATATCCCCAGCCCAGGGTTCAAATCCTAGTGCTTGCATTATTTCTGAATTTATTCCACGAAGGAGTTGAATCCCTATATAAAACCGAACACGGAGAATCAACCATTCTGCATGTGCCGATGACGCGTTATGTTGCTACTCTCGAGTTTCACCATCATGAAGAAAAAGGTACCCTATGAATGCTTAGAGCATCTACCATCGGACTTGTCAATTCCCCCCCCCCCAAGTCTATATGTCTGTGAACAACGCCCGGTCACCTCTCATTTCCCCGCATCCGTAGCTACCCCCCTTAAATCCCTGCAACCCCATGCAAGGTGATCAACACTACGTAGATAAATTCAACATAGTATAGTGGGCACATCAAGTTTATACAAATCGGGCATAATAAGTTCACAAAAGATCAGACATAGAAAGTTTGTCGATCGACTATGATATACGACTAAACGATAGATAAAAATAGATACGAGGCGTCGAATTCCACCACTTCCTTGTCGGGCCCTTGCCCTTGGTGTCTCTAGAGCGGATGTAATACTCCTCGGCGTTGATGTCGGTGGTCAAAGGGGTGTCACATCGACACTTGTGGTGCCGCCACCGATGGAGGTGGACGAGGACAAGGAGGGGAGGTCTGCCAGGCGTCGAGTGACGGGGACCTGCTCTCGGCGAGGCGTTGAGCTTTCGTCGTGTTGGTCGTCCTTTGTCGCACGAGCCGCTTGAATTCCTCGATACCGAGCCGCTATGCCTTGGCATCTTTGCGGCGGCGACGGCGGGCGCTCGTCTCCGTCGTGGGCAAGGAGTGGCAGATGACGTCGTGAAGAAGGTCGTCCTCCAGGTCGTGGGAAGCGGCCTGGGCGTGAATCTACATGACCTATAGCTGGACTGGCTACATCCGGCCTGCGTCGCCCTGTGCCTCGCGCAGAGAGCGACCCGCACTTCCGACTCGGGGAGTTGCGACTTCCGACTCGGGGAGTGATAAGGTTTGATCCGATTGAGAATGAGGTGGGGTTTATGTGGCGTCGAGGTGGGCCAACATGGGATGGTCCCACATGACGGCTGCGTCTGGGCGTATTCAGATCACCTCATATTCATCCCACATGAGTTGGATTCAAGGGATGCAGGACAGCCCAGACATTTGGGTTAGGTCTGAGGAGTCGGGATGCGATTTTTCGATTGGGGCAACATCTTAGAGCAACTCTAGCAGACCCTGCATCCCGCCCCGACCCGCAAAATAACCGCCAAAATGCGCGTCGGGGCGGAAAAACCTGCCCGGTCAGACC